AACTTGTACTGTGTGGTTCGAGGTCTAACAGCGCATAACTAAATGTTGCCGCCTTGACGTGAGCAGTGATGTGGATGGCTTTGTGCAACCACTGTGACAAAAGAGGGTTATACATAAGGGTTTTAAGAAGTAAACAAATTCACCTTGGTACCAGCAGTCGGAGTTTCAGGGATGAATAAAAAGGGCACCACAACTCACCTTGTCCTCACCCTCGAAGATCACACCATCTTCGGTGAATTCGGCGATGTTCTCCTTTACGCGTACCTTCCCGCTGATTATGAGGATCGGCAATACGTCGTTGGTGGTCGGGTGTTGCGAGTGGTAGCGGTGTTTGGGCTTGATTCCGTACGCCTCGTGGTTGAAGAACCCGTTCAAGATGTTCTCCGTGTAGCTGCTGGCCAGCGATCTCGGTAACCAGCTCAACAAGTATGCCCTGAGTCGCGATTTCATGAACATGTCGCCGGGCATGCCGTTGGGCCCGACACGCCGGGTAACCCAAGCTCCTCTTCTAGTTGACAGATACGTCTGCGGGAATTCGATAATAAAACAGTGGGGAAATGTAGGTTCGATTTCGCGTGTACACATTGGCATAGTATGGAGGAGGCTCTGCGCCGAGCCTTCGCCCTTCCCCTCTCATCAAGTCTCTATGGTATCGTGCCATATCAAATAGACGCGCTGCTCGAAGTACAAGTTGCTTATGTTAGCAACAGGCAAGCTTGTATCAGCGAGCTTATACCATAGCACTTCAAGAGTGCTGCGAGACTCATCGACTATTTCGTGAGAGTGTGGATTCGCAGCGCTGAAACAGGGGTGTTATGAGAAGGCTAAGCAAATGCCCCTCAGGGTTGGTTTCAAATTTTGGCTTGTTGTCGACCTCGCCATTTTGTCAAGTTGTCGTCTCGGCATGATCGGTTCACTACGCGATATCTAGGCTGCTCGGACCAACAAAATTCAGGAATGTAACAGTACGAAGCCATTCTCAAAATTGCCGACATTAGTTCTCTGGGTTATCTAGGGTATGATCGAATGGGCATCGCAGAGAGATGTATGCGTCACGCTTACCTGGACTGCCACCTGACTGATATCGGCCACGGCATCACAGCCCGAGTTGCCAATGCCGACAACGGCCACCCGGTGATTCCGGAAGCTGTCGGCGTTTTTCAGGCTGTGCGTGTGCATGATTCGGCCGCGGAACTTCTCCTGTCCCTTGAAGTGCGGCACGTTCGGATACACGTGATGGCCCACGCACACGGCCACGGCGTCGAACGTCTCGCTGCGGTCGCTGTTGGTCGCCAGGTCCCTGACGAGCACGTCCCAGCGACCCGTATTCTCGTAGTCGGCGGCTGGCGTCACCTGCACCACGTCGTGCCTCGTTTGCAGATGCTTGGTGACGCTGAAGCGGTCGGCGTAGTTCCGGAAGTAGTCCAGCATGTCGGTGTTGTGCATGTAGTTGGGGAGCTCTTTGGGCGGTGGGAAGTCACTGCGTAACAAAGAAGTTTGCGCGAAGAAAGTTTGGGCTTGACAGGACAGGACCTTCATGTATGTCATGGTTTAAAAAAATTTGCTATATTCACAAGATAAGCGTAAATATATGTAGTCAGAGGGGCAGATGCTCTTGCTCTTTTTTTTTCGAATGCTTCTTTTTCCAAATTCTTTTGCAGTGAATAGAGGACTATGCATAGTGGGCTAAGCAATGAATCTGTTTATAACGTGGCGTGGTTGACGAATTTTAATGTTTCGCAAGTTTTAATCAAGGTTGTTCTCTACTTAATCCATTTTTCTGTTCGTTACCTTGAATTTATATGAGCGTAAGCTGTACATTGTTAAAAACGGGTTTGTTATTCTGTGAGAGAGATATAATAATAATAAATGATAAAGTTTAACGTCCCAAAACCACGACATGATTACGAAAGACGTCAAGGTGGAGGGCTTCAAAAATTTCTACCATCTGTGGTTCTTTAACGTGCACCTAAGTTTAGGTACACGAGATTCAAGCATTTTCGCCTCTCCCATTAATGAGGTTACCACGGCTGGGATTCAGTCCCGCGGCCAGCAGTTAAAAACAGGCACAACACTCTAAAAATACATTGAATTAGCGGGTGTCTTTTTGTCCCACAACAATGACTGTCATCTAGCTTACTTGCGATTCCTTTCTTGAAAACTCGGCTCTGGACAATTTTTTTGATGATGGACTAATATGTGGAGTATAACGTGCCAAAACCACCATATGATTATGAGAGACGCCGTATAGCGGAGGGCTCCGGAAATTTCGACCACCTGGGGTTCTTTAACGTGCGCCCTAATCTGAGCACACGGGCCTACAACGTTTCCGCCTCCATCGTAAATGCAGCCGCCGCAGCTGGGATTCGATTCCGTGACATGCGGGTCAGCAGCCGAGTACCTTAGCCACTAGACCACCGCGATGGAATTCTGACCAATTTCCTACCAAGAATGTTATGCCACACTGATAACGCACAGGTCATGCGTGACCTTAAAGTGCGGGAGCGCGGTGATAATGCGAGGAAAACAACGCAAAATATATGACAATTATCGTGGGATAGAACGTTGCCCTATTTACTAAACCTTTGTTTTTTAATGAAACCTATTGGTTCGAAATAAGAAGTAGCTCAAGAACTTCTCATGAAAACAAATGGCCGGCGGCGGCGGGCGGTGTGTGACAATGATCCTGCACACCTATTTTATTCAACAGGAAGAGTGGGAGAAAGAGAGGTTTTGAGTGATGCATCATATATATATATATATATATATATATATATATATATATATATATATATATATATATATATATATATATATATTTGAAATAGGGAAGGAAGTGTATACTTAAGTGCTCGTTTTTTTTTGTTTTTATGCACAATAATAATAAGATTTAACAGACAGTAATGCAAGGAAAGTATAGGGAAAGTTATTAGACCTACTTGTAATGTAAATGTCAGGAACGAAGAAATGGATGAAAAGATAACTTGTCGTGGGCCTCACCTGAACCAAGGACCTTTGAATAACGCGTCCTATGCTCTACAAACTGAGCTACCACGAATGCTATCACCCAATACATTTCATTGGAAATATATGTGAATGAAACCTGGGAGTGTCAGTGCCAGCATTAGTCAGGATGGCGACTGTGAAACACTCTTTAGGAGCCTGTTTGGCATAACGTAGTACGTGAAGTTATTGCGAGCTGGCAGCTGACTAATAATCCCTCGTATACTATCTAGAGGCACAAAGTCTGCCAGAGCGAGACCCTCGTTCAGGAATGAAGGAAGGAAGTGTATACTTGAGGGTTCGTTTTCTTGGTAAACACAATAATATTGAGATCTAACAGACAACAATCCAAGGAAAGTATAGGGGAAGTTATCAAACCTAATTGTAAAGTAAATTTAGAGAAAGAAAACTGAATGAAAAGATAACTTGTCTTCGGCAGGAATTAAAGCTGCGGCCTTCGAATAACGCGTTCGAATAACGCAGGTCCGGTTCCTGCACTTGGCAAGTAATCTTTTCATCTTCTTTTCTTTCTTCACATTAACATTGAAATTTGGTGCGTAGGTTTGCTGACGAAACCTCCTCGCGTCGGCGGCCGAGCAAGCCCTGGAATTTTCTCGATGGAAAGGGGCGTGGTGATGCTGGGTTGAGTCATCCGTCGCGGACGGCCCCCGTATCGTCTCGCCCTTTCTCCCAGCCTTCGCTGCGTATCGCGCCGACAAAATGATGAGAACTTTCTGGAATCTCGCGCGGAAGGTATTTAATCGAGCAGCCGAGATGGGAGATCAGCAGGAGAAGAAGGAAGTTAACGCCAGAGTGCGTAGGGTATCCCGCCGCGTCTGTCGGTGAAGGTTTTGTCCGTAGTGACAAAGCAGGAGAAGAAGAAAGTATGCGCCAGAGTGCGTAGGGTGTTCCGCCTTGTGGGCGATGCCTTTTGTCTTCCGTGACAAAGGGGGAGAAGAAGAGGAATTCCACCTGAGGGGTGAAGGCTCGAGCTACAGGCAAGAGTGTGTGTCTACCGCTATCGAGCGAATACGCGTGGCAACAGCTGCGTGTGTGAAGCCGACGTGTTTCCGGCGAAGAAGTTTGAAGCTTGGAGAGTGGCCAATTGAAGACGCGAGGTTTCCTGGAAGAGAAACTTCGGGGGCAGCGGAACGACAACAACGCTGGACTTTGAGTGAGTGATTCTCGGAAGAGTATCATTCAGTCTTTTGTTCCAAGGACTTTGGACTCAGTAAGTTTTCGAACTCTTTAGTCTTTAAGTGTCTTGGTTGTTCGATGCATGCGACTCCATTGTAGTGCGTATTGTTGTCTGTGTCCGTTGTTTCGAGTGTGGCTGATTGTGCTGTGTAATACATTGTTTGGTGACATATTGTATTCAACTATTGTCGAGTGTGCCTATTTGTGTATCGTTTTTATCTGTCATTATTGAGAATATAATTTTGTTTTGTTTATCAACTCTCGGCTCTGACTTGTTCTTTGTGCCACAGCCGGCGTCCGCTGGCGCGCCAAAAAGGACCACTTCTAAATTGTCCACGCTTTCGTGGTGCGGTTCGGGGGGCCGATACTTCAGCCCTTGGAATTAGCCCGGCGATTGCCTCCCGAATTAACGGGACCCGTGACAGTGGTGCCTCTCCATTACTGACACACAGATGGAGTTGCTGTGATGGCCATATGTTTGCAACACGTTGGGTAAGAGAATTGAATGTTGAAAGAGTTCATAAACGATTCACAACAAAATTTTATCATTTGCGGCACGAAGACTGTCGCATTAGACTGAAGAACACGCTTTAGGGCAAGTTGCCATCCGTCGTCTGCTCTACAGATGAATTGCTGTGCGCCGCATCTCGGAGGCAATGCTTTAGATCATATGGTTCAAAGTAGGGACAAAGATTACGCCTCCCGTAATTTTATCGACAAAAGCATTGTGAAATTCGTTTTAACGTACTATACTTCAGTTTTGCATTCGCACTGTGGATACTTGCGCACGCTGTTTTACGTCTGCTCTCAATAAAGGTGAGAGACATCGGAACAGACGGCAGATAGATCACTTTCGTGCTGCTGGTTTCACGCATAGTTGCATTGCCAGTAATTTGAACATCAAGGAGCATGGCGATGGCTGGCCACTTCAGCCGGGATAGAGTTTATTGTTCAGATTACCTCATGTTGCAAAAAAAGAAAATATCTTATCGAAAAAACTTCCGCAAGGTCGAAGACATCGGCCTGTTTGCCCTCCAGAAGCTTTTGCCGAAAGCTGCCCGTCATGCACATAACAACGACCACGTCTGCCAGAACTGCTTCAGACGCCTCAGAGATATGCTGTCTTCGTCTAATGGCTTCTCAGCTGAAACAGCTGATGAGTTTTTGCTGGAAAAAGGAAAAGGCAGAAGTCAAGAGCGGTGCGTAAACACGCCTGAAGCATTGTCACATATGCGACTGGAGAAGCTGCATGCGCAAAATAGCAAAATAGCAAAGTTCATGCAGAGCCAAGACACTTAGCAGCAATTCTACAGTAACCGTGAAATGCCACCGTAACGTGTGTAACCGCCACTTTCAACCATCAGATCTAAAATGCAGTGTGTGTGCCCAGTGATTCAAGAACTTCAAGCAAGCCTATGAAGCGTGTTCTTCGTATCAAGAGCACATGCGTTTGTTGACACTGTTGCCGAGCAATATAGAGCGCCGAAAACTCCAAGCGCTTATACCAAACTTGTCAGCTTACATGATATACAGATCGCGACGCTGGTTCGCAAAACACGGGATAAGGTTAGCACCAAATGCGGTGAAAAGGACACGGCTGAACCCAATGGACGTCCAGGCAGCTATGGCTTACTACTCCAAAGATGAGTATAACTGCTCTCGGCAGAGTCCCAACAAAAAAGATGTAGTATCTGTTATCATTGACGGAAAAAGGAGCTTGTTTCGAAAAGGTTTATGACCCGTTCGGTGCGAGAGGCTTACCATCTCTTTAGAGAAGCTAATCCGAACACGTCTATTGGGCTTTCAAAGTTTTATTCACTGAGGCCAAAGTGTGTTCTTCTTGCACAACACCAAGAAGTGTGCCTTTGTATATACTGTGCTAATGCCACGGAGTGTGTTTCTGCCCTACAAGACGTCACCAATGGTGCCTACATGGCGTACTTCTTGAAAGAACTATGTCTTTGCAGCTCCCCTACAAGGGATTGTTTTTTAGGCCATTGTGACTATTGTGCTAAGGACGACTCTCTGACAGCCACATGTTTAGGAATCCCTGAAGATATTCAGGTAGCTTATGCAGTATGGGAAAATGGCGATCTAGAAAATAAAACAGCCCTGGCAAGCGCTTTTCTGCGAGAGCTAAGTCTATGGTTTGTGAAGTGGATTACCCATGATTACAGAAGATATATTCAAGAATCAGCAATTCGCCAGGCGAAAGAGAACCAAGAAAAAAAAATCTTGCATTTTTCACTGATTTTGCCGAAAATTGGACAGCCATTTTAC